TCCAGCCATCGAAAGGAATGAAGTGCTGGTACATGCTGAAGCATGAGTGAACTCTGACATTATGCTAAGTGAAAGAAGCCGGATACAAAGGCCACATGAGACTCCATTTATATGAATGTGTAGGACAGACAAATCCTTACAAAGTGTTTTCATTATTGCTTAAGGCTCAGGACAACAGACACAGGAGCTTAATAACTGAAGTATACAAGTTGATTTTAGAATAGTGAAAATGCTATAAAAACAGAATAATTGGTAGTAGAAGAGTTGTGCTTATCTGTGACTATACTACAAGCAATTTGACCAAATTCTATATAAATTAATTCTCCTTAAAGATACTATGAAATACTACACATATTTTATTAGGCTCATGAGTAAGCAATTTAAAAATATTTCTATCTTTAAAACTTTTAAAGAAAGGCCTACATTGTGGGTCCTTCTGAAAAAAAAAATTGAAGTTGGAAATGAAAACTAAGCATGCCTTGGATAAATTAAAATGAGGTAGACATTTCACTACTAACACATTTTCCTGAACATGCTTCCTTGTTTATAACAAGGGCCCTCCTCAGGGAAACCCCCGCAGACAATGTGGGGAGCTGCTGTGGGATGTTCTGTATGGCAAATGTGTTGCTCTGATTGGTCAATAAATAAAGTGCTGATTGGCCAGTAGCCAGGCAGTGAAAAAAAATTGAAGTTGGAAATGAAAACTAAGCATGCCTTGGATAAATTAAAATGAGGTAGACATTTCACTACTAACACATTTTCCTGAACATGCTTCCTTGTTTAAACAAGGGCCCTCCTCAGGGAAACCCCCGCAGACAATGTGGGGGGCTGCTGTGGGATGTTCTGTATGGCAAATGTGTTGCTCTGATTGGTCAATAAATAAAACACTGATTGGCCAGTGGCTAGGCAGGAAGTATAGGTGGGACTAACAGAGAGGAGAAAAGAAAGAACAGGAAGGCAGAAGGAGTCACTGCCAGCCGCCTCCATGACAAATAGCATGTGAAGATGCTGGTAAGCCACGAGCCACGTGGCAAGGTATAGATTTATGGAAATGGATTAATTTAAGCTATAAGAACAGTTAGCAAGAAGCCTGCCATGGCCATACAGTTTGTAAGCAATATAAGTCTCTGTGTTTACTTGGTTGGGTCTGAGCAGCTGTGGGACTGGCGGGTGACAAAGATTTGTCCTGACTGTGGGCGAGGCAGGAAAAAATCTAGCTACACTCATTAACCCCATAACCCAATTTTTGAGAATCTAGAGGCACATGACTGCCTGTCCTCAGGCTGGTTGTTTTGGTTGCTTCAAGGACATTAGACCAAAACAAAATCTTCAACCATCCTGGGCATTTTGCCATATCTCAAGCAATGTATTACTAACTCTTAGTGGTCAGAGTGCCCAGGAAAAATCCTCAGGCTAAAGCTGCTGCATTTATTATTCAAATTCTGGCATAATACAATCACTGTTGACATTTATATCTTTATAGAATTGGTCTATATGTCTAACCTTGGCATTCTGTTGTTCCTTGGTCATATGACATTATAGTGGCTCTACATGAACTAACTTCTAAGAGAGGGAGGTCCTAATATTTCATACTTTTATCATCTTTCCTCTCCACATTTTTTGTTCATCAATATGTCTCTATGTAGGACAGAGTTGTATGCCACATAATTTTCTGAGTATACAGTGGAAAGAGGCTTGTTATCTGAACTGTGGACAATTCCTCTAGCCCACCGAATCTTGTTGACCTTTTTGAATTTACTTTGTTTTGAATATCTTGTTCCAATGTAAATATAGGGACAAATGTTTCAAGAATGTCTCATAGCCTCATGAAGAGACCTCTGGCTTCTACTTTATGTCCAAGGCATAAGGAAGACCTTCAAGTAGATAAGGATATCTCCCTCAAAGTGTGTGTTGGGGGATAGTATGTTCAGGACTTTCCTGGATAAGCTTAGAAGCAGCATTCCTGGGAGAGGGCATAAATGATTCATAAGGAATTTTCCATAAATCCAATATCCTCAAACTGTACAAATATTAAAAATGCCCCAAGTATGTAACAGGTGGAGATGAAAACCAAAGGTGGCATGGCAGCCATGATGTGGCTCAGCTTTGCTGGATCTTTGTCAAGCAGCTGTGCTGGCTTTGTGACTTCTGCCATTCCATTCAGATATGGCTGTGCCAAAAGCCTTCCTTGGGGTTTTGAGTGTGAATATTGAAAGTGTGTGCAGAAAATACCCACTGGAATTCCCCCCGATCTTGCATATTTACAGCCTGAAGACTGCTTCCCTATAGAACTGCTCCTACAGAGGTCAGCTAAACCTGCCTCCTCCTTGATTGCTTCCGCTGCAGCCTCTACATCTGAGAGCTGGGACCACCCAACCCCAGCCTTTCTGTGTGTCTGTTAGTTTGTCCTTTCCTCATTTCCTTGGGACCCCTACTCAGAGTTCCAGGAACCAAGCAGTCAAAGGATGCAACAATGGGGAATCACCAGCTACTGTTCCCATTGCTTCACAATGCCTCTTAATACCTCAAATTATCTTAGGTAGTTATTTATTAACCTTTCCCCTTCATGAAAACAAAAATTTATGAAAAATTAAAATACTGCTCTAACTCCAGCTGATAGAGCTGTGTGGTATGAGGGGGTGCCTGCCAGTGTGCAAGTGATATTTCAGGGCATGGTGAGCCAAGTAAAGACCCACTGGGTGAATGGATGAGCAAATGCAACAACAAGATGAGTGACTGGAACAGGATATTAAAGCAGGGATGGGACAAGTGTCAGTCAACCTATTTGCCTGTTTGTGAGATCCTAAAGGTCTTAAAAAGAACATACTCCAGACTAGAAATCAAAACTCCATACTAAAAGATGTAGTGAGGTCAGCAACATGGTTATCATTACTGTGGAAGCCAAATAGCTGTGGAACAGCATGGGTCCACTGAACTGATGGCCATCTTCTCAGTGTTGAGAGAATATAGCTGTCTTTACAACCACGTGAACACTATGTGTAAGATCCGTTCAGCTTGGTCTAGTTTGGGTTCACATCTAACTTGCTTGTTATTTAATAAAATGTGATTGTTGATAAAAATAATGTTTGTTTTAGACAGATTTACATGTGCATCTATACACATATCTGTCTAGCCAAATTTGCATTGAAGACAATATAAATTAAAGAATGAAATACAAGCCAGAAGGTAGGTAACCAGTGGTTTACCTGAATAACTTCACCAATACATGCAGCATACACTGTCAGCGTTTTAGAAGCTACAAACACACATGATGTTTTTGGTGTTTGTGTTGGTTTCCTCATCCTGTGACTGTGACAATGTATCTCACATCAATGACATTTTAAAAGGAAAGATTTGTTTTAGCTCCTAATGACAGAGGGCTCAGGTTATGGCCCCTTGATCCCATGTACTTGAGATCATGGCAGTAGAAGAAGAGAACTGTTGCCTCCTGGTAGACAGAGAGGGGAGGAAGGGAGGGAAGGAGGGAGGGAAGAGAGGGAGGAGAAAACACAAATATGAACAAACCAAAGTCAAGATACCACAAGGACCTGCCCCTGGTTCCCTGGTTTTTGCAGCTAAGGCCAACTTCCTAAACCAGAATGCTGTGGATACCACTCTGTATGCTGTGAATGTGTTGCTCTGATTGGTTAATAAATAAAGTGCTGATTGGCCAGTAGCCAGGCAGAAAGTATAGGCGAGACAAAGAGAGAGAAGAATTCTGGGAAGAGGAAGGCTGAATCAGGAGTTGCCAACCAGACACAGAGGAAGCAAGATGTAAAAGTACCAGTAAGTCACAAGCAACTTATAGATTAATAGAAATGGGTTAATTTAAGATGTAAGATCTAGCTAGCAAGATGCCTGAGCTATTGGGCCATACAGTTTAATTAATATAAGCCTCTATGTGTTTACTTGGGTCCAAGCGGCTGCAGGACTGGCAGGTGAGAGAGATTTGTCCTGATCACAGGCCAGGTGGGACACAGGAAAACTTCAACTACACCATGATCTCCAGGCTTGACAAATGATTCTGCAGGGGATACCTCAGTATATTCCAAGCAAGGATGTTGCCATTATGGTTTTGTTTGTTTTCTAGCCATGCAAGACCAGCAGGCAGAGGAAGACCTCCCTCATGCCAGACAACATTCTGCTACTGAGCTATCTCCCAGCCCACAAACACCTTTCAATTATACGTTTGCACATTTGTTATTTAATCTTCATTATAATCCCATGGGCCGGAAAGTATTATACTTACTCTCTTATTACAAATTAAAAAGCTAAGGATAGCTAAACAGTGAGACCAGGAGACAAGATGGGCAGTCATTAACAGGTTTTGATATAAACACGGAGTATTAAAGAAAAGGTCAGGGAGTGGGCTGGCTCAGTCAACTTACTTTCAGCTGCCAATCCTGGAAGGGATTTTCCAGTCTGTTCCTATTCATATAGTCAAGGTAAGGGGGGGATAAGGTGGCAAACCAGGGCAACAAGACCCTTGTCCCCCCTTGTAGAGACGTGTCCCCGTTCTGTCTAAATGTGATGGTTCATATTGGTTCATAGCTTCTGCTTATAAGAATAATTTGAGAATAACACAAATCAGCTTTTATTCCCCAGTATTAACAGTGGCCTTCTTGTGATACCAACTAACTGGCCAGGATTGGGGACTCCTCGTCCCATTTCAATGCAATGAAGCATTTCTTTCTCAAGCTGTCTTTTACCTTTCAGTGTGTGAACCCCAAAGCTGCTCACACCCTGTTGCCAGGATGCCAGAGCAAACACACACCAGTGGCCATCCCCTCAGACAGCTCCAGGGCCGCTCACACCACATACTTGCCAGCTTTGAGCCTCACGCTTTCAGAGTTGTGCAATCTTTGGTTAGCATACTAAAATACATGTTTTATGACTACAATAAATCCCTCTGACCCTTTCTATCATAGAAATTCCAGAGGCGAGGGAGGATCCATTTATTCAGATAAGTCTCTAACACATAGATGATCCTTAAAACTGACCTTCTCTCAAAGGTGCCAGGTTCTCCTTACCACAAATCCACATTTTTAGAACTAGCAGTTGTTCTCAGGTTAGACCAGGGACTCTCCAGCCTCCATTCTCTGTGTGTAATATCCTGTTTTGAAGACTGGAATAGAAGAAAGCCACTCTGGCTCAATTCATTGTTGTTGTTTTTATTTTGAAGACAGCATTTTTTAGCTACCCTAGACTGGGCCTATATTCACGATATTTCCACCTCCATTTCACAGGGACTTGGACTACAGGTGTGCACCACAACTCCAGGCTCTGTGGCACCCACCTTTATTCTTTCATTCAGTCATTCACTGGTCCAACACATCGAAGGTGAAGGACCCGAGGGTGAGGCACACTCCTGGAAATCGCCGTCAGTGGACGAACTAAATTGGCCTTCAAAGCCTCTACACAACACAGTCCCTGGGATGGGCGTGAAGAGCAGGCCTCACCAAGTGCCCAGCCATGGGGAGGCTAAGGTGGCTTCATGAAAGAAAGGGAGATTTGTGAGCTGGGTTTTGGGGGGAACAAGCAAGGACTTAATCTCCAGGAGAGACAGGAAGAAATGGTGGTCCAGGTGGGGAGATTGGTCTATGCCTTGGCGAGGAGGGGAGAAGTGAAGGTTAAGGACCAGCAGTGCAGATGAGCTGTGTGGCCAGAGCATGGGAGCCACAGAGTGTAGCTAGAGTTTTCCTGCCTTGCCCACAGTCAGGACAAATCTTTGTCACCCGCCAGTCCCACAGCCGCTCAGACCCAACCAAGTAAACACAGAGACTTATATTGCTTACAAACTGTATGGCCGTGGCAGGCTTCTTGCTAACTGTTCTTATATCTTAAATTAATCCATTTCCATAAATCTATACCTGCCACGTGGCTGGTGGCTTACCAGCGTCTTCACATGCTGCTGGTCATGGCTGCGGCTGCAGTGTCTCTCTGCTTCAGCCTTCCGTTTCCCAGAATTCTCCTCTCTCCTTGTCCCACCTACTTCCTGCCTGGCCACTGGCCAATCAGTGTTTTATTTATTGACCAATCAGAGCAATTTGACATACAGACCATCCCACAGCAACAGAGGACCAGGGTACGATCTGGAACCAAACTGCCAAGTCCTTGACCACCTGGATGAGTTGCTGCCATCTTACTGAGGAATCACTAGAAGAGCCACAGAGAGGTTAGACAGAGAAGCCATTTGTGCCCAAGAGCAAACCAAAAAGGCTGCCTTGGCGAGGGGTATTAGTGACCTTTAATTCTGAAAGATTGCGGTCCAAGGGTGAGTAAGGAATCTTTTAGCATAGACCGGCATGAGGCAATCAGGTCTTACAGTGAGGTCAAGAGAGCGGGAGAGAAGGACTAACAAACAGAGTTTGGTCTGGAAAGAGGGCAAAACGAGAAGGGATAACTCCCAGGTCTTGAGTCGGTGCCTGGAAAAATTTATATTGTGGATAAAAATGTTTAGACTCAAATTTATACAAAGATCTAGAGATGTTAAAGATTTATTTCAGGACTGACTGCGATGTTATCCTTTACCATCCCCCTCAAAAAATAAAAAAAAAAAGAACGGAAAGAAAGACTATCATTTCCCAGGATGGCCCTGGACAGCTGCTTGCTTTCACATTCCTTCAGAAGGCTTCTTTTTCCATGGTATTAGCTGTTTTGGGATGCGGAGGGGAGTGTTGGAAAGAGTTCTCACCATGATCAACCTTCTACCGTTCCTCCTTCGACAACCCATAGAATCCTGACACATGAGCCATCTCAATGCCCACTGTGATGTGCATGCAACACCTTCTGTTGGAGGGTCACGTTGAAGCCCTCCTCTGCGAGTGTCACAGACCCATGGGTCAGTCCTGATGGCACTCACTATGAAACACTGGGATGTGGAAGGGTACCTCTTACATCCCTCTCAACCACAGGAGCCAAGGTGTCTCTGGGGACCGAGGGTCCCTCAGCCCAAGTGATGCGTTGGAAATACTCCATCTCCTCGATGTCATGGCATTGATGGTGACATTCTGCATGAAGGAGCAGACCTCTGGGAAAGTCAGTGTGATAGCCCTCCTCACCTGTGGTGGGTGAGGCCAAGAGAAACAAGAGCTATCGTTTTCAACGCTGGGCACCCTAACCTGTCCACACAAACAATTAACTGCAAGGCCACTCCACGCTCTCCCAGTGGGCCCAGATGTTGCACTTCACTTTAGGTAAACGTTATTTTTAGAGACATAAGAGTCCAGCATCCGAAATTTATCACCCATCTGAGTGGGAGACATAGAGCACAGAACAGATTTATATGTTTAGAGGGTAGGAGTGGAGTTTAAGCTCAATAAAATCTTAACTATGCTTTACTTTTTAATTTAACTTTCAAACATTGCTTTCCTGTTTTGTGACTGAGACTCCTGCACATGTCTCCCTCCTAGTGAAGTATCACAGGAAAGACATTTTTGTGGTGTTTAATGGAAATAATTTTTCTTGCCGTGTTGCTCTGATACCCTGGGAAATTGGCTGTAGGAGCTGTCCGGTGCAAATTTATTAAGCAGTCACTGGTTTAAAACAACTTACCCTGTTTCAGCTCACTGGAGATCTGTTACTGGCTCTTGAGAATGCAGAAAAGAGCTGAAGACTGATAAATTTCGTACATCATCTTGAGACAGACAAAAGGAAGTGCTGGTGTCATGTATTTCAAGGCCAGGCAGGGGCAGAACACACTGGTATAAGTCTATAGATGAAGGCTTGAAATGCCAGTCATGGTTCACAGCAGCAGACTAGGCTGGAGCTCCGACAGTGGTGGCTAAACACTAAAGAAATGTTCAAATTCTCTCTCTGAAACACGTTTTAACCAAAAAGGCCTCCTAAACTACTCATATAGCCTTAAACATAGGAAATAAAGAGTTCTGTCTGCAGAGAAAAATACTGATGATCCACACAGATGTTACAATGACTGCACTTTCTCCAGATGCCCTAAGACAGAAGCCATGGCCTTGACTGTGCACTGGAATCCGCAGGGAGATTTATACAGCTCAGATGCCTGCATCCGATCTTCCAGGTTGTAATGACTTTGGTCTGGAGTGTAGTCTGGGATGGAGGAGTTTTAAATCCATGAGGTTCTGCCATGCAATTAAGGTCAAGAACCACTACCCTGGGAAAGTACCATCAGAGACACAGATCTACCCAACATCCCAAAGCTGTCATGCAGCTCTGTGGCTAGTGTCTCTGTCTCTCTTTAAAATGCCACTCATGGTCACCGAGCATTAATCAGCACCGAGGAGCCACAGTTAACTGTTTCGGGGTAGGTACTCAATTCCGGTGCTGTACCGTGTGAAGGAAGCTGCGTGATTGAGCAAACAAAAGTAGAAACATTGAGAAGATGGAGAGTCAAGTTCATTGGGTTCAAACTGGGCTTCTTTTTTCCAAAGACACCTTGACTCTGACCCTTTCGTCAGAGCGAGGGGGGCTCCTGAGTGAAGGCATTTTTGTTTTTGGTAGCTGATTTTTATTTTATTACTTATCCTTCAACAATTACATACATTAATATATGATTATATTACATGTTTCTATATTATATATTATTATATATTACCATGTATTATATTACATTGTATATATGTTGTATATATTTTGTCCACCCACGTCCTCTCTTCTATCTCTCATGCTCCCACGGAAACCCTGTCTCCCCAAAAAGCCCCTCTTACTTTCATGTCTCTGTGTGTGTCCACACCACTGTATTTTATTACAATTGTCTGCATGAACATGAGTACAGGGCTATTTTCTTGAGTGAAGGCAACTTACTCCAGCTACATCGCTGAGGAATACAACTCTCCTCTCCCAGTAACTATTTCTGACTGCCCATGGCTCCTCAGGGAGGGCTGGGGTCCTCATGAGTCTCTTCTCTTGGCCATGAGACTTAGACTTCAGCAGGTCTTGTGCAGGTACCCATGGCTTCTGTGAGAATCCATGCCTGCAATGGCTCTGTCACATCCAGAAGATGTCTCTTAGCACTCCTCCCTGTCCTTAGCTTTTACGTTCTTCCCACCCTCTCTTCCACTGACGTTCCCTGCACCGTGGAGGTGGGGGAGATAGATGTTTCATTCAAGATCAAACACTGATTTCTGTTTTGAAGATCCATGTTCCCTTACATACAAAAACATATGAATCACCTGCCAAACTCATTTAAACATACAGCTTCCTCATTGCTGTCCGGAGGATCCTGACTCACAGGGCTGGAGCAGAGCCCAGGAATCTAAAGTTTTCAGTCTCCAGGTGACTGTGATTCAGGTGCACTGAACCCCACCTTGGAGAAACACTGAGTCATTCTATCTCCAGGCAACTGAATTGTTCTTCTTTGGTTAAATACATTGCCCAAAGAAAAAGAGACAAATGCCTCTTAGTGAAATTTATACAATGTGGTTTTTTTTTTTTCCAAAATTACTTAACTAAAATTTTTATTGAAAAAGCCTCCAAAAATATCATTTTTGGAGAGCCATGTTTCTCTCATTTCCTCAGTTTATCTACCAAAAAGAGTGAAGCTGGATTCCCATAAACAGAAAGCAGATGCAGCCAATTCGCATGAACTGTGAGCCAACAGAGTTCTTGGGAGTCACAGGGAGGCTTTCAAAATCAAAAATCCTCTCATGTTTCAAAGGATCACAACTGTGGATGGGGTCAAAACAACAACCATGACGATAGCATTCCCAGGATAAGGAAATGCGTGGAAGACTGTGCCCCTTCATGTTCAGAAGCTTCTAGATTAATTCGGAAAGCTGTTTGTATTTATTTTTCAAAATGGACAAACTTTCTTTATGGAGGCTTACCCCACCTGGAATGCAGGAAAATGGAAAGAGACCAAAGTATTATTTTGAGTTCAGGATTGAAACGTTAACAAACCATTTGCCCAATATCTCCTTCTGGTTCAGCGTGTGTATGTGCGAGCATGTGTACATGTGCAAGACACAGCTATAATCATTTAGTACTACATCTTGGAATCTGTAGCTGATAAGGGGAAACCTGGGTGTGGGTGTGGGGGTGGGGGACAGTGGACACTCTTCACCACTTGTTTTTTGTATTCAGAATTTCCCCAGACCTCTCAGTCTCCCCAGCCTTGACCATTGTTCCTTTGCTGTCCCCACATTCCATTGGCACCGGCATGGAATGGCATGCTTGGAATGTCTCCACCCTGCGTAATATTTTTGGATCCAGCTTATCCCCTTTTCCTTGAAAAACCTCCGTGGTACAAGCGTTTACTCCACTTTCATGTTTTTGTGTGTTGTTGAATGTGAACCACATTGTGAAAACTCCAGGGTCTTGGTCTTCTCCTCTTCTGACTCCCAGGTACCCACAGACTCCCCACAGGAGCTGGGGGGGGGCCCACCAGGGGTCCACTCTCTACCCCTTTTGTTCTTAACTTCCGGCTTCTTTCTAGCTCCTCTCTAGATTTCAGGGTCCTCTCTGAGATGTCTAACCTAACTTCCCTGAACATAGGAATGGCCCTATCTCATAGTTGTCTTTAGGCAGACTTGTTTTTCGTCTAGCGTGAACTGACAATCTCAATCAGACACCAACTCCTGGAGAAGCTTCAAGGAAGAATGCTTTTCTTCTAAGCCAAGGAGCACTAGGACATTTAGCGGTTTTGTTTGTTTGTTTGTTTGTTTGTTTGTTTGTTTGAGGGAGGATTGGAACCCAATCAAGTCAGTCAACAAACAGCACTCTCTGTAATAGTAATGACACTATTTGAAGTGTCATCCTTAGCTGAGATTGTCTCATATAGTCTCTTACTTAATTTTCGTAGCAGCCGTGGGAGACAGGTATGAGAACCCCACTTCAGCCAAAACTCGGGTCACAAAGGCACTAAATTTGTCACAGTTTTGTCAATTGTTGTAGTAAATTTGTAAAAGAAAGCTGACACAGAGAAGAAATCACATACCCTCAAGAAAACTGTGATTAAAATGAAAATCAAGTGGTTTCCTCATGAAACTCCGTAAGCAATGGATTCTGGGGTCAGTTAGATGGCTAAAGAGACTTTGGGGGGAAATTTCCTTCTAAAATCTTGCTGGCATTTAAGTGACATTTTGGTGAAACACCACAGAAACATCTGGTCACATCCTCCCAAACCTAATTTCTTCCCTAAATGTTGTTTTTAATATGTCACAGTTGTTAAATTTGTAACGAGTAATGCCCTTGAGACTAAACAACAGTGCCTGGTATGCGAAAAATGAACAATACATTTACAGCACCAAAAAGCGAAAGAAAAAATTTTAAATAAACATTTAATTGAGTACAAATAGTTTTAAAGTTATGCTGGTGGAACTTGCCCAATCTGTGTGTTCACATTAGCGGCAGGATGCTCCAAATAAACTCCATTAAAGCAAATGTGCTCTTCTTCCTTCGTGACATAACCGATGAGATTGAGTTCTTCCGACGGACTATGACTGGGAAAGAAACACTTGGTAGTTGGAAGGGAATCTTCCAGTCATAAACACTCCTGAACAAATATGTTGCCATCACCCAAGGAAAATGGAACTGGCTATTTAGAAATTGAACAATGGCTTCAAAGCATACAACCAACAGCCACCCATGTTTACAAATCATCTAAGTTAGTTAGCCAAGGTCTACAGGCCTGATTCACTTCCTCTCTAACTCTAGAAGGATTCTTCCTGCTAGATAAAGCCTTGAATACTTGAATCTAATCCAGTGTATGTACTGGTCTCAAGCTGTATTTTGTTCTTTGCTGGATTTCAGTCGCATGTAATGGAAAGATTTACGAAGAATCTACTTGAGAAAAATTCAGAGAAGGGGTTGCAGCCAGGGAACTAGAGATGCCACTGAGAACAAGGAGCTGTGAATGTCACCTCGCCAGTCATTAGAAAACACTGTCTTTCAATTTTATATATCATCCTTTTCCACACACCAACAGGCAGATGCTGTTCAGCAGAAATGCTTTCCCACTGATACAGAGTCCCAGAGAAACCAAGTTGGCTCTGTCTGATGTGATTTGGAGGTTGTGTCATTTACCAACGTGGTTTTAAAAAATGTCCAAAACCTTTGGGTGGGTCAACGTGAAAATAAACACAGATGGTTCTTGGTAGAACAAGCCATTTTCCATGTTGGACTTAACCATACAACATGGGATATATAGTCTTGTATTAGCACTACATTTAAAGTGCATAAAAGCAGCTGGAGTGAACACAAATCAGACTTCCTTCCTAGTTTGGTATATAAAAAATAGCCCCATTGCCATTGTTAAAATTTTTATCTTTAAATATTTTTAAGCAGTGAAAGAGTCAGATATGCATGACAAAGAACTTTTTAAATAAATCTGGACCATTTAAAAGTATGTTGTAGGCAAACTATTCCATTACTTCTGAATAATTTATTGTATATCTTTTACAAATGGTGTCATGAAAAGTGAGAAATTAACACTGACTTTTTATTTATTTATTTATTTATTTATTTATTTATTTATTTATTTATTTATTTATTTATTTATTTATTATTCTCTACTTCACAGTAACTGGCCCAACTATATGCTTTATAGCAATAGATCTCAAGCTTTAGTGTGTCGGAACTAATGAAAAGATTCAGGAAGCAGCTATTAGGCTCCAAAGCCAATGTGTAATTCAGCAGATTGGTTCTGGGGTCCAGTATTTATACTGCTCAGCACATCTTTGAGTAGAGCTTAAGCTGTTAGTCCTGAGACTGACTTTGATAATCACTGTTTTAAAGCAACAATGTCTACATTTAATAATAGTCTGCTTTGCTTGTTTGTGCCTCTGCCTTGGCTATGAGCCAGAGGAAAGAATATTTTAATGAACTGGGAAGCTGCTTGAGGCATCCTTGGCCAAGATTTCTGTGGTACCTAAACATCTCACCAACTCTTTACCCACAGATGTCCAGAGGAGACTTTCCATTTGTTGGAGTTCGGAAGAACTTATGGAGCCAAGGGTAGAGAGAGTGAGTAGTCTGTAGCCATCTGCAGAGCATCCACTGTGTATCACACACTGAGCTAGGCGCTAGGGATTCTGGAATGCCCTGGGCAGACAAGATCTCTTGCCTCACAGAGCGTACCTTCTAGAGTGTTCTCTGGAACCATTTCAATTTTTCATATTATTCTGAGATCCTCTATGGCAAGCAAACTTGTCTGCAGTTTGGACTGCATGATCTTCAGCCAATGTGATGGGAAAATCTGGTGCAGAGGGTGGTTGAGAGGAGCATTCTGAGCACTGGATAGTCCTATACTCTAAGAAGGTCCAGAGGCCCACCGGAGAACCAGACCGTAGCTTTGAGTATCCTGGAGAGAAGAGTGAACTCAGGATAGGGTGAGTGCTGATCATGGAACACTTTTACTTTCTTATTTTGCCAAAGTCTACTTCAAAGCTGCTTCTGTATGTACCTTCAGAACGCCCTTGAACGTCAGTTCATCTTGATTTCCAAGGACCCAAGGGGAGCTTAAAATGCCCTACATGTCTCTCGAGCACGAGTTTCACAGAACTAAGATGACACAGAGGGGAATCACTCACCCTTCCTGAACATGCTCACAGAGAAGACTGCATGGCCGATGCTCTCCTTGGATCTGGTCCTTACTTTTTTGGAGATGTTATGTCTAGGGGCTAGAATGATAATTTAGATGTATCTAGGGATGGGGAGAGGACCAGTAGAGTCAGAGATGGTTCTGTTTTCTCTTGACTTCATGTTACATCTGTTTGGTAAGATCTGGATAATACTGGGACTTCCCCCACCATCTCTGTAATCCACAAAAATCCTGCTGCTACAGAGTTGTTAGTTGCAAGACTCAGAAACCCAACTCAAAAAGCATAAGAATCACAATGATGTCTGAATAACTAACCAAATGCCTCCTGTTTAACTAACCAAATGCCTCATACTGCCTATAGAAGATATAGTCATATATATAGAGAATATAGATGATGCAGCTGTTCTACAAGCTTCGCCATGGATTTTTGTGTTGGGCTGTGAGTTCTGCAGCTCATAAGACCTTTCTTTTTGAAGGTAGAGTACTTGACTTTAGGGGACTACTCCAAGTTCTAGAATCTCAGGATATGGCTTGGTATAATTTTATGGTTCTCTAAATAAGACAAATATAAGTAATAGTCAGTAAGGCTAGAGATGTAGATGACATAGATTGAGAGTTGAGAACTCCACAATGCCATTAAATCAAGAGTTGGTTGAAGTTCACATAGTGATGTCTTTGACTCTTGAACATTGTGTAGCTCTGTGAGTTAAAGTAGGCAGTCTCAAGGCCAGTGCAGGATTCCAACACTCTTTCAAGGTTCAAGGACCTGTCACAACAGCTTATATAGAAGAGTTCACTAGCGCTTCTGCTCCCCACTTCCTAACATCATTTTTACTGAGACCTCACGCGAACTGGAGGAGTGAAGACATTGTTCCAGAGCACTGAGTAGTCTTCTGACGGCAAACACAACTTTCCTATGTCGACACAAAGCAAAACAACACAAAAAAAGGCAATTAAACAAGACACTGGGTACTGTGGCAGCTCTTGCTTCTCCCTCCTTCCCTGGAGGATCCCCCTGCTTCATGACTAGCAAAGGGATGTGAAGGCATTTGTTGGCCTGGGCTTCCATGGGATTGCCTTTTTCACAGCAGTTCTCACATGCAGACATGCGTACGAGGATAAATCCAAATTCTTTCACAATTGCCCAAACATAGGTGCCTCCATTTCCTTGGATCTCAGAGCTAATGAGTGAGGCTGGGACCACAGCTCTGGAAGTGTGGTCTCACACAGGTGGTGTTGTGTTGTCTGGGAGTCTGTCAGGGTTGCTAGCTCTGATGCTCGACCCTGTCACACTCATGAGGAACTGGGTGTAGGTGGTACTCTGTGGTTTATTGAGCCGGGGGCAGGGTGGGGGGAGATACCTAGCATCATATTCACAATAAATGCATTCTCTTCCAAAGGCACACAGTGCTTATGATGGGCCCAACCTTTCCACTGCCATTCTTCACCTTTGCTTTGTTTTTCCTAACAAAGGAAGGCTGAGGGAAGATTATCACTCTGGAAGATGCAGGGCTTTCTGGGTAACATTAGGACCCTCGGTGTGCCCTCTTTGTTGGATCTCCTCTCTTCTAGTGGGGCACAGGCACTGCTGCTCTTATCTTGGAAGTTAACTTGCTTTTTAATTGTGCTAATTTTAACTCGTTTGCAACAGACTTTCTAAAACGTCCATCAAACCTACCCTTTTACTGAGTATGAGGACTCTACTTATTCTGCCTTTGAGGAAGTCATCTTTGTTTGAAATCCAGACTATTTGTCTGATCTCTGCCCATTCTGGGGCTTCAAGGACTTTGCAAGAGTTCTACCTCAGACCCAAACACAGGCTACCCACCCAGAAGGGATGCTGTTTCCTGAAGTGGGTGGGGCTGGTATTTCATTTATTTGTAACCATCAAGGATGCTACAAGTTGCTTTGTGACCTCCCCAGAAATACCACCATAGTTGTTAATAAAGGAATGCTCCTTGATATGACCAAACTGAGAACTACTAGTTCAATACAAAAATAAATTGTTAATACTGCTTCATTTCAATGGGTTTTGGTTTTCAAAAATTGAACACAATAAAGTTCCTCAAGATTGTGTAGCTGGAAATATATCTCTTGTTAAAAATGCAAAACCCTCTGGAGGAAATGATGCTCTGAGCTTTGGAGCACAAATAAATGCCAAACAGAGACCATAAATCATGTTTTCTTATACACTTGGCACCAGCTCTAAGTATCTTGAACAAACGTCACTATGTGTTAGACCTGGGGACCCTCACTTCTCTGGAAATGGTTGATTGCCTGTTAAAGTAGAGTAGACAGGTCAGGGGTCAGAAAATCATGACTAGGGCACTGGCAGAAACAAAGAAACCATGGAAATCAAATAATCTGAATATTATACGCACTCGGATGCCAAAGCTGTTCTTTGGGAAAGCCGTCTTGCCAGGCCGGTGTGTTCAGAATAAACTGGTTTGGAACTTGGGTTATCAACTCCCAGCCAAGTGAAAATGCTCTGAAACACAACCTTCCTAATGCTGTGACCCCTTAATACAATTGCTCATGTTGTGGTGACCCCCCCAACCACAAGTTATTTCATTGCTACTTCATAACTATAATTTGCTACTGTTATGAATCATAATGTATACAACTGATTTTTTTTTTTCTGAGACATGGTTTCTCTGTGTAGCCCTGACTATCCTAGAACTCACTCTGTAGACCAGGCCAGCAGAGTTTCGATATGTGACCCTCAAAGGGGTCAGGACCCACAGGTTGAGGACTGCTAGCCTAGGTGAAAGTGGTGTTGCATCAAGCCATGCTTCCTACAAATCAGTGGGCGAAGTAAGGAATCTCAGATACTAAATTTGCATTCCTTTGAGAATATCTATCCCTGTACAGTGTCACTGTCCTTTCTAAACAAACCAGTCCCTTCTTTTTGGGAGATGGGTTGCTCTGTGGGCAAAGGCCACAACTATAGGTTCTGGACCTACAGAACCACAGACTCACAAGAAATCAGAGACCCATCTCCAAGTTCAAGTCAACTTAAAAATCACAGTAGGAAAAAAGTTCTTATGAATGGAAGGGTCGAGAAAGCACCACCCCACCTTACCAAAACCTTCTCACTTCTGAAGAAGCTAGCATGGCTGATTGTCTGACTTTTGCTCAAGAAGAACAAAGGCAAAGATAAAATGTTTTCAAAATCACTTTTCATTAATTGCCAGAGCAATGGAAAAGGGGCAATTGAAACTTGACTGGAGGGCTTAATGACGTTCTGTGTCGCTTCTTGTCACAGTGCGCTTGGCTACCCACATCTCTCCAAGGAGTATACAGACAGGAGTCACGGTTCCTGTATTTAGTCTGATCACTAATCATTGCTGGATACTGCTGCTGCCACCTGAACCTGAATGTGGATCAGAGGTAGTTATTTTGATATCACATATCAGATACTGGCTTATGATGCTGTCCTGTGAGCACCCGGGGATGGTTTGCAGCTGCTGTGTCTTTCTATTAAAACAAAATCTGGCCTTTTTATAATATTTTCATATCATAGTTCCATGTTCAGAGGACTGGAAGGTGCTCTCTCTTTTATTAGTGTACTGCATTTCTGAAATCATTGCTTCTCACAAACCCTCTCCTCCAGCAAGCAGGCTGGCGGACTCACAAGGACGTTCATCAAAAGAGCTGTGAGCAAGAGTGAACATAAGTGCCGGCCAAGGCTTATGGATTTCATTTGAGGTTCACTGTTGCAGCTTAATTTTTCACTCATTCCTTTTAGTAGTTACTTTGCTAATCACGTCCAGGTTGCCTCTGCTGATTACTATTATTACTACTTGGTAGTTAGTGTTAGTGATATTAACGGAAGTGGCTGACCTGGTTGTTAGAAGTTCCTAAAACTTAAAAGAATGCCGCCCCCTTGTCATTTATAAAATGCTTCTTTTTGTGCCTTCTAATAAAATCAAGGAGCAAACCTTCATATTCATTGATTTATTATCTTGTCTTATACTCACTCACTCACTCACTCACTCAGTAAATGCATTTAAAACCATGTGCCATTCAGAAATGTTTCCAAGGAACTGTTCAAAATGGTCTACGCCTAAAGCCATGTTAAAATAATGTTTGCACTTGAATAATGGCATTTTGGTCTATTAGAGATACAAAGGCAGAATTCACGTCTCCAGTTCAGTTCAGCAGAGACTGAGCAGTTCATCTGAATCTAGAGATGAACAGCAGTGATACCAGCCATGTACTTCTTCATCACTATCAATCTACCTCTGTTCCTATAGCTCCACTGTAAAGACGGATCCTCGGCGGTGTTAGAGATAAAGAGCTCACTTCAAAAGCAATGACTACATCTGTCTTGTAATTAAGGAAATCTTTTGAAATTTCAGAAGCAGCTGCTGATGAGGGTTTTTTTTTTCCCCCCCTTTTTTTTCCCCAAAGGATTTCCAATGTGGATATCACACACATTCTCTAGACAGGATGAAATTGATCAAATAGCCACTTGTGGCTAGCAATAAAAATTCTGTTGTGGTGTCCTTAATCTGGAACTGCTTATGGACTTCTGAAATACTGATTCAGACATCATTTGTAATATGTGTCAATAAATATTTACCAAATAAGCACATGCTATGGGACAGACATTGTACTGGGCTCTGGGGACATAGTTCCAAGTAAAATAAATATTCATTGTGCCTTCACAGGACCTGAAAATCTGTGGGTTGTAGGCATAACTTGTTTTTCACTTTTACTCCCGTAAAAATAACCTCAGAATATTTCTTTTTTAAAGGACAGAAAGCCAAGCCATCAGGTAACTCTGAAAGTAACTCATAACTTACTTAGATATTCTCGGTTTGGGTTCCCACACTGGAAACATTACCTTTGGCTTTCCATGTTGTTTTCAGTGTACATGAATTACATAAACTAATGGATTTTTATGGCACATTCATACATGCATACAATATACTTAGATCATATTCATCCCCATTACCACAACTTCTCACTTCTAGCCCCTCCTCGGACCCTCCCTCTTTTCTCATTGTTCCTCCTTCTGCATCCATGATTTTTGTTTCTCACTAGATTTCACATATGAGGAAAGATATCTGATGCTTGTCATCTGAATCCAGTTATTTTACTTAACCCGATGATCTCTAGTGCTATTCATTTTCCTGCAAATAACTTGCTTTTGCTCTTCTTTCTGGCTGACTATTACTCCATTTAGTATATGTACCACATTTTCTTTACCCATTGAGGGTGATTTCATGACTTGACTATTGGAAATAACTCTTGAGTAAACATGGATATGCAGGAATCTCTATCACATGTTAGCTTTGATTTTTTTTAGGGGGAGGGGACAGGGGTAAATCCAGTAGAATAGCCGGATTCTACTGTAGTCCAATTTTCAGTTTGAGGACCTCAGCACTGATTTCCACGGCGACTGTACTAATTTACATCCCCACCAGCAACCTATAACTGTTTGTCTTCCCACCCCCAAGCCCCACCTTCTTGCTAATGTATGTTTCTTTCTTTGATGTTAACTATTCTGACTAGGGTGACTTGGAATCTCGATTTATTTTTGATTCGCTTTTCCTTGGTGGCTAAGGACATTGAATATTTGACCACCTGGGGATTCCATGGCAGTAGCAAGAAAATCCACAAAGAAACAACTCTGGCTGTTCAACCAAAACAAACAAGTTTTATCATCCATATTCTGTTGTAGAGTAAAGGACATCAGCTTTGAAATTCAGTCCCCCTTACCCCCAAATCTACTTCCCATTACATTCTTCTGTTAGCTGTCTCTTTGAATGTTGTTTGTTTATTTTAAATTTCAGGAGCAATCTTGCTGTGTCCCAGCAAAGCCCTTCTTTTTACTACTTTGAAGAATCATATACCCTTGACCTAGGAAGTCAGACTGAACTTTGGATATACTTCAATTATAAATACCTGAATAGAAGAATTATAAAAATTAATAAGGCCAAAGTTCCTCACTAGAACTGATTAAAATTTAGATTTTTTTTTTTTAAAGAATAGGTAACAAAAGAGAAAGTCCAAAGATATTGATGGCAGAGGCCACAGTGCAGACAGGAAAAGAAAGTGGTTTCATACAGCAAGAGGTCAGAGATGTCTGCCAGAGCCGAATGGGTCTGCGGATAATTCTGAAGGCAAGGCTCTCAGTCATCTCATTTCTATGAACAGTCTGGAAGTGACCATGAATGCTCAGACAGGAGTATGCTTGAGCAAAGGGAATACAAGAAATTAAATTTCAGAAAGATTAGAAATCAATCACATCCTTTCACAAAGCACACTTAAGTCATTTGCCTGTACATCCAGATCACTCTGCTAGGATTTAACTTCTAGAGACTAGTATAAACAACAATAGAGATGGAAAAGGGTCAGTTTCCTATCAGGAAACTCATCTTATTCAATCTAATTATCTGAATTTGTCACCCCACTCTCTCTAAGATGTTCAGCCACCAAAGAGAATTCAATTGCAGCCTGATTCTCAACTTTAATGCCCACAGAAACGGAAGTGGGGTGAGGTTGACCAGATGCCCTTTGGCATCCTACCATATGCTGAACACACACTGTCCAGCAATGCTCATCCTGTCCTGGGCAGCTCTGGGAGTCCCAGATTCCAAGCTGGCATTCTGTCCATAGCTCTGGGGTCAAATCCCTTCACATTCCAAGGGAGTTTTGTGGTTGATGCATTTTCCTCCTCCTCTCTACAGATAAAGCACCTCTTAAGTGATGAGTTTCAAGGGAGCTGCCATTCCCTATGAATTACCCCTCTTAAGAGATTTGGTGACAGGGCCGAATTCTTACTAATGGAAGATTACTAAAGTGGGCTGCCTACTTTCTGCACTATGACAATAATCCTAAAAGATCTGGGAAGATAAACAGGCAATCATTCCCTGTTTCAAATATTCAACATGACATGATACCAGGGTAGCAGAGACTCTGGCTCCTGGCTGATGGTGGGGATGCGTTCTGGGGATTTTGGAATGCTGGTTCCCAAGCCAAGGAGCACAACAACTCAGGAATGTGGTGGCTGTTTTT